TTGTCTAAATTACATGTGATTTTGATACTGGGATTGCTTCCGCTGCATATAATAATCCATCACTAGAGACTGCAAATTAATTCCATGTTTTTAATTGTATCTTTACTTATTCCAAAATAACTCTCTCATCTTTTATCCCCCAAGAAGATTGGTAAGACTTCAGTCACCAATTCGTTTAAACGGAATAGATTCGATACATATCTAATGTGCACATTGGTACTATGCTGAGTTGATTTATATGCCGAATATCGATCTTTATTATCGACTGCATTCGTTATATTGTTGGTAACAATAGTAAGAGCACTGAAATACATGTTAGCAGTACAATTTATTTCACAGTCCGGTAGTTCGCAGACAAACTTTTTGCGTACTCAAAAGGCTCTAATATGTTATCGTGACATAGAATATGTTGGATCTTTTTGCCCTAATTTTAGACAAAGAACTTTTATAAAAGTGAAAAAGATAACTACTATGTACCCTTTCGCCAGAAATCGTCGGTCACAGTATATAAGTACTTGAGAATGATGTTTTAAGGATTTGAGATTTGAATGCTTGCTTGGGAACAAGAAAAGAGTAAAATTAAGGCGAGAAATATGTATGAACGAGATATGATTCAATTTTCTTAATCTATAGAGAAAATTCCAAATTACTTCCGTAGCCATTCATAGTACATAATGGATGCGTTCTAGTTATGAAATTTTACCAAATGAATCATGATATACACCTGACAGGATTTCAAAACCAGTTGACCTTGGTTTTAATTTATTCGATTTGAGTAAAAAGTCATATTTGTGAAAATGTGAAAAAATAGGATCTAGAATATAGTTGCCACTGTCCAAGCCCCATTTTTACAAAGTGACAATAAACCTAGTCTAAAACGATTTTGGACGAGAATTGAGATATATCTGCTTCCTGGGTACTAAATAAGTTGGAGTAATGTACATAAATCGCATGCCATACAGCTATCACACTTGCGCAAGCAATAGACTAGGGGGCCACTGCACCAACGATAAGCACCCGAGGAACCAGCAAAAATCTTGAAGAACACGAGCAAGAGCTCAGTAAGGACATCCCGGCCCATCTTAATGATTTCGTTTACAGCCAAACCTCATCCCTGCCCCTGTAGGATCGATACGTATTACACTCATGACAATTTAGAACAAAAAAATTCCGAGTTTTAACTACTAAATGTTGTTTAAATAGACCTGGCCGGAGACTTGTCTGACACTTATAATCGCTTGCTTAGATTATAGGGAGATGCTACTGAGACAAGGTGGCTTGGCAGCTCCATAATAGAAGAATGCCATCATTTTGGACAACTCGTCTGCTGTTCGGTTCACTACTCAACTCAAGAATTAAAGGAAAAAAGAAGATTAGAGATAAAATGAGGATTTGAGATCAAGCGACAAATGTCAAAAGCAATATTCCATTAGATAGACTTTAACCTTTCTCGCGGTGCATGATTTTCCCTGCTTTAGTAAAGATGAGCTCGGGGAAAACAGAGACTTGTAAAGCAGACACCAAGTCAACTTCAACAATAGCATCAATTGCTACACACTACAGAGAAAAAAAGAAACTATCAATAGTGTGTTTGGAATATAATTGTTTAAAAGTTAAATGATTTAACTTATTACCCTTGGAGATGGTAGTCTGCAGTTCCAGATGATGTGGACAGCCTTCTCCAATTCATCACGAACCATTTCATTTTCCTTTGGCCTGTGTGTAACACAGAGCTTCATAAGATAGTATTCAAAAGACTTACTTTGTTCTAAAGTAAGTTATTGAGAGAGACTTGTGCACTTTGAAAAACCTACTTTAGCCTTTTGTTTTATATGGTTCAGCAAGTAACCAATTTTATGCTAGGAAATCCCTTCAAATAAAGGAAAATACATGGTTTTTCGTCAAATGAAAATGATCTCAAAGAACAGCAGAGAGAGATTGCCATCATGAAAAATACACAAATAAAGTTCGGGTTATTTGTGAAATAAGTTATGCTGATCTCTTCTAGAAATGTTATCTCTAAAATGCCAAGTCTTCCAATATTTTTGAGTAAAAACTCTTTGTAGTAAAAGTTTACCAGGTCACTTTCACATAAAAGAATGATATTTATGAAAAGATATAAAAGTGAAAGGAAAAAATTAGTGAATTCGGTGCCATTCTCCTCTAAGCTGATATGGACTGACAAGAATGAACAGAATTCACCTTTGTTTTAGCACTCTAATTTAAACAGGACTCACCAATTAATTTAGTTTACTACACGTCTGACTTTTCTGTCCTAATTGTGAATAAGTGGGAGAGACTTCAAAGTGTATGCATTAGTACGTATTGACCGAGAATTCCTCTCCCAGCAAATCCACGAACCAGCAAAAGATTTAGTTAACTACTAGCAGATATTCTCTCCTATTTTGAATCAACTTTGTATTTTGAATTACTGTTATGATTTGTTGTATATCTTCAAATTAAAATCTAGAGAGATTATAGGACTTGTGTAACTGAATCCTTGTACATAAGAAATATTTAAAGGACTCTTCCTCTCGGCAGTAAAGTTAACCGAGAGTCTGCACATTGGACTTTCTTTCACCTTTCACCTCTTTGCTCTCTTATATGGTATCAGATACATCGATCTGACATGGCCGCTAACCAATAGTCTCACTCTCACTCAGGGATCATCTTCTGATAAAACTACATATCATTTACCAAATCTCTCTCCAAAGCTTGATCGCAATAACTTTCAGATTTGGAAGAGTAATGTTATGAATGCTCTCCAAATTTTTCGTCTTCATTCTTTTGTTCTATCCTACAACCCGCCACCTGCTACTACAACAACTCAAAGTGCTCCAACTGAACAACCTGTTACTGTTCCAAATCCGAAATATGAAGATTGGCACCAACGTGATCTCTACGTCCTTCTCTGGCTCAAACAAACAATTTCAGACCCCCTGCTTCCTCATGTAATCACTGCCAAATCCTCTTATGAAGCATGGAACACAATTGAACGCCTTTTCCAAACCCAAGCAAAATCCCGTGTGCGACAACTTAAATGGCAACTTCATTCTCTTCAAAAAGGATCTCTCACTATCCTTGAATACTTTGAAAAGAAACGTGCTTTAGCCGATGCTTTAGGCGAAAGCTCTCAAATTGTTTCGGATGATGATTTTGTCTCATATATTCTCTATGGCCTGGACTCGTCTTTTGGTTCTTTTCGTGCAGCTCTTAACTTGCGAGTTGAACCTATTAATCCCACAGACCTACTCGGACTTCTTCTTCAAGAAGAAGAACGAATAAATGAAGAGGCTCAACTTACTTCAGATTCTTCTATGCCCACTGCCAACTTAGCCAAAACCTCTCGGGCACCTGCTCTTACGCAAAAGCAGTCTAGTTATTCAAATTCACGCCTAAATCGTCGTCGCTCTCACTGCCAAATATGTGGGAAATCTGGACATGAAGCGCGTAACTGCTATCAACGCCTTGACATTACTGCCTACCCTCCCACACGCACCAACACTCAGTCCACAATAGCTTCTTCACATCCTTCTGCCATGTCTACTATACGTGGACCCCTCTCCAAACCACAGGCCAACTATGCTTCTCCATCTACAATTGTTGATCCAGCATGGTACTTCGACTCGGGTGCCTCTCACCATGTCACTCCAGATCTAGCTAACCTATCCATCAACTCGGAGTATAATGGAGATGATCAACTTGTGGTCGGCAATGGTATGTAACTAAATATTTCGCATATTGGCTCTAAAGTTCTGTCTGCTAGTCCTAAAAGTGTCAAACTCTCTAATATTCTTGATGTTCCCAAGCTCACAAAAAGTCTCTTAAGTATTTCCAAACTCACTCGTGATAATAATGTCTTTGTTGAGTTTCATGCTAATGAGTGCTTTGTCAAGAATTTGCAGGGCAAAACAGTACTTCGGGGAGTCGTTGACAATGACTTGTATCGCCTCACTCCACCACCTACATCAACCTCCACAAAATCACCGCCTATGGCCTTTCTTGGTGAACGCACTACCCTTGTTGGATGGCACCGCAGATTGGCTCATCCCAACGAAGCCACACTGCGTCGTCTTGTCTCTACATATAATCTTCCTGTTTCAAATTTTAGTTTTCCTAATGTTTGTGCGCCATGTCAAATGGGCAAGAGTCATCGTCTTCCATTAGTTCATCGTCATGAATCTAGTATGCGTCCTTTTGATCTTGTGTATTCAGATGTTTGGGGCCCGGCTCCTATCAATTCTATTAATGGGACTCGGTATTTTATTTTATTTTTGGATGATTGTACCAAGTTTATTTGGATTTACTTTATCCATCAAAAATCAGATGTGCTTACTATTTTTAAACAATTCCATACCATGGTTGAAACCCAATTCAATGTCAAAATAAAATGTCTACAAACTGATTGGGGAGGTGAATTTTGTAATGTTTCCTCTCATCTTCAAACTCTAGGCATTCAACATCGAGTTTCATGTCCGCACACACAAGAATAGAATGGTGCTCCAGAGCGACGCAATCGCATTATTGTCGAAAAAGGATTATCTCTTCTTGCCCATGCTTCTCTCCCATTGTCCTTTTGGGAACCAGCATTTCATATCTCTCTAACCGTACCATCACCCCCATCCTAAACCACTCTTCACCTTACCGATGCCTATATGGTCGTCCACCAGATTATGGTTTTCTAAAAACTTTTGGTTGTCTTTGTTTTCCTTTTCTTCGTCCTTACAATAAACACAAGTTTGAATTTTGTTCTCAGCCATGTATCTTTATAGGTTATAGCTCCAAACACAAGGGTTATATGTGTCATCATGTGCCATCTAACCCCTCCTCCACATTATGCTCCTTATAATCTACAGTCCCTGCCACATTGCTCCAACAAGCTGCCTCCTTGCCTCCACCTCCGCAAGCTGCAACCCAATTGTCAACGACTACTCGAGATGTTGTTCTTCGACAAGCACACAGGTAATCACCTCTTCTCAATCTTTGCCACCCACTGAATCACCTTCTGCCTTTCCTTCCAACAACTACTCTTCACCTTCCCCACCTCCAGTTAACTCTCGGCATCCTTCTCCCACTTACTACTCCACAACTCCTTCATATTTTCGACCACCAGACAACTCTCACCATCAAATGATAACCCGCTCCAAAACCAACTCTTTAGCCCCAAAAGCTCTCACCACATCCAAACACTCCCTTCTAGTTGATCCTCTACCTATTGACGAACCCAAAAGTTTTAACCAGGCTTCCAAACTTCCTCAATGGCAACAAGCTATGCAAACAGAATTTTCTGCTCTTATGCGAAATAATACATGGCAACTTGTTCCACCGCCTCCTAACTCTAATATTGTTGGTTGTAAGTGGGTTTACAAGATCAAATATAAAGTTGATGGCTCCATTGAGTGCTATAAAGCTCGTTTAGTGGCAAAGGGGTTTCATCAAGAAGAAGGCATTGACTATTTTTATACCTTCAGTCCTGTCATCAAACCAACCACCATTAGGCTAGTTCTCTCTATTGCCCTCACTAAAGGTTGGCCCTTGCATCAACTTGATATTAACAATGCATTCTTAAATGGTGACCTTAATGAGCAGGTATTTATGGAGCAGCCAAAGGGATTTGTTCATCCCCAATACCCCAACCATGTGTGCCTACTCAAAAAGGCTCTTTATGGCCTAAAACAGGCTCCTCGAGCATGGTTTACCAAGCTCAAAAATTTTCTCCTATCTCATGGTTTTAAATCATGCTTATCAGATTGTTCTCTATTTGTTAGAAAATCACCCAATGATATTACTTATATCCTAGTGTATGTTGATGACCTTATTGTTACGGGAAGCAATCCTCGGTTCATTACTCAATTTACTAAAACACTTCATGCTGCCTTCTCTTTGAAGGACCTTGGTGATCTTCATTTTTTCCTTGGCATTGAAGTTACCAGAAATAAGGATACCATTTTTCTCACCCAACAAAAATACATCAGAGATGTCCTTGTACGTGCCAAGATGGCTAATGCCAAACCGATCTCCACTCCATCTACACCAGGGTCTCGTCTTGTCCATGACGGCGATCCTCTCCCTGATCCTCACCTATATCGCCACATTGTTGGGCCTCTTCAATATGCCACCATTACCCGCCCCGAAATTTGCTATGCTGCCAATCGGGTGTGTCAATTTATGCATCACCCATTGGGCTGCAGTTAAGCGTATTCTTCGATATCTTAAAGGCACCCTTCACCATGGTCTTTACTTTCACTCATCCACAGACTCCGGCCTAGTTGCTTTCTCTGATACTGGATGGATTTCTGACCTAGATGATAGTCGTTCTCAACATGATTTTGCTCTTTACTATGGTGGTAATTTAGTAAGCTGGTGCTCTAAAAAGCAAAAGGTTGTCGCTCGCTCTAGTACCGAAGCTGAATATCGAGCTCTTGCATTTGCTGCTACTGAAATTATTTGGGTCCAGCAACTCTTACATGAGTTGCATGCTCCTCTTAACCAACCTCCGATTCTACTCTGCGACAACTTAAGTGCTACCTTTATCTCTACCAATCTTGTCATTCATCAACGGTCGAAGCACATTAAACTTGATTATCATTTCGTACGGGAAAAAGTCGATGATAATTCACTTGTTGTTCGCTTTGTTAGTTCTCAAAATCAAATAGCAGATATTTTTACAAAAGCTCTCGGAACAGCTAGATTCAATCTGCTAAAATCCAAGCTACTTGTTCGACCCTCACCATCCACTTGCCGGGGGGTATTGACCGAGAATTCCTCTCCCAGCAAATCCAAGAACCAGCAAAAGATTAAGTTAACTACTAGCAGATATTCTCTCCTATTTTGAATCAACTTTGTATTTTGAATTACTGTTATGATTTGTTGTATATCTTCAAATTAAAATCTAGAGAGATTATAGGACTTGTGTAACTGAATCCTTGTACATAAGAAATATTTAAAGGACTCTTCCTCTCGGCAGTAAAGTTAACCGAGAGTCTGCACATTGGACTTTCTTTCACCTTTCACCTCTTTGCTCTCTTATAGTATGGTGAAGAGTAAAGAAATCTAGAGAATGGATATGGATATGGATATGCATATGCATATGTAAGCTACAATGTAATAAAAGAATTTGATTGTCTAATAGAAGCAAGACGCATAAATACAGACAACAGATAACCCCTAGACCATCAGAGAAGCAAGTAGATTTTAACTTTCAGGAACATGGACGAGAAACAAAAAAGAGATAGCAGTGAAAGCAAGTGCCCTTATCTAACAACTGACAGAACTGCCTTTCATATCTAAGTCAAAGGCTACATCATTAATGAGAAATGTAGAGGAGTTGAGAGATCACCTTTTGTAACGATTATGAACAAGTATAATAAGAGGACTGATGTCCTTAAACACAGCCTCCTCCCATTCTGCAGTGGTTAAGTCCTTAATTGGACGAATATAATCATCATCTTGCCATACCACTTCATTGTCACTGTCATAATTCTCATCATCATCATTATCTTTCTTAACGTTCTTGATAGTGATCTTGTTAAAGAATTGATCCAAGTTAAAACCCCGCCCATCTGCATCTTCTGGCCAATCAGGGTCTTCCTCTTCAACAACAAGAGGGTAATCAGCCAAAAGCTTTTGCATCTTTTTTCTTTTCTCAACAAGATCTACCTCTTCCTCAACATCAGGAGACATTTTAATGACATCCCTTATCTTCCGCCGCCATTCCCGCCTTTCATCCTCATCCATATGAAAGTAATCATCCCTCTTATGACCTCCATCAGATTCAGAATCAGATTCAGATTCATCTCCTGAATCTTCCTCTCCATTACCAAATTTTAGCAACTCTTCTAGCTTCGAAGCTTTTAATCCCTTTTGTCTGAGACCATGAACCTGATTTTACACTTCATTGTCAAAGCAGGGATCTTGAAGAATATGAACATGTAATAGAGATTAACGGCAATGATGTAGTCCAAACAAATAAGAAAGGAAGTGGAGAGAAGAGCATACCAGCAACTGGGATGTCCAAAATCTTGGTGCTGACTGGCCAGAATAATTCAAAGTCGATGAAGATATGATAGAACTTCTCAGTTTGTTTCTCCTTTGAGGAACAATTCCAAACACTGAAGAGAAGCTTCTCAGGCATTTCTCCTCTAAAGGTGGGGTCAAACGCTGCAGCCTTAGACTGTGTTGTAATTCCATTGACTAGAAAATCAAAAAAAAAAAAAAATTGTAACTTACCATAAGAGAAATTCTGTGCAATATCTAAACAAAGATAAGGGAGAGAAAATATAGTTATGACATGCAATTATCCCATTTGCTAAATTTCAAGTTCATAACGGTTAAGGCTGCGTACATCAGACCCAGCGTGATCCAGCCCTCTTAGGTCACCACTGGCCTTTATAACGGTTTTATTGAAACACAGGGACTCTTCTATTTTTCATTTTCCGACTTATTTTATCAGTGTTTTCTTATCCAGTATCCTATGTTGGACCTACAACAACTGGTTTTAAGGTCAAATGGAATTCAACATAGTTCATGAATTGAAGCTTAGACGTATTATGCATTTTCTCTGTATTTTTTTTGTCATTCCTCGGCTATTAGTATAAGAGGAACGGTGAACTCCATTTCCTCAACAAGCGCTATTGAGAGTACAGAAAGGAACTCTTTAAGATAACCACAAGACCAAAGGGAAAAAGGTGCAGTGTCAATTAAATGGTACAACTGACGAAATAGCTACCACCCAATTGCGAATTGCACCAGTATTTCAAATTGAGATGTGTCTCAACAATATGAGAAACGGCGAACTTCATTTTCACCAGAAATCGCGATTGAGAAAGCAAATAACATCTTTACGATCATCAGAGACACATCTCAATTTGAAATACTTAGTTTTCTGTCATCTAGTCATGTGTTCCCTATATACAACTGTATAAATCAACTCGTTTTCATGTCGCAGGTCCTTGTAGCATGTATATGTTCCAGGCAACTTAGCGCACTAGAGCACTGATGTAGTGCTCAGTCTCACATAGCTCTTAGACCTTGAATTTGTTAAGTGGAACCTATCCTGGTATTACTCGTAAACTCTATCCACATGAGTAACTAGCGCACTACACCTATTATATAACATTTCGCAACTTGGGTGTGCATCAGCAGCTATAGAAAAATGATAATCAAGTAGCGTACTTGATAATCAACCCAGTGGTCATAAGTTAATACTGCAGTCCAAGAAGGGAAAAATCCCTGATTAAAATGCATTTGCATATTCAGTCTTACCGAGGGCGCAACAATGAAGTGCATAGCAGTTAGAACCCCTGCTCCTAAGCCCCCAACGTCTACGGAAATCCACTAATTTACTAGAAACTGTTATCAAATAAACAAATAGAATATAGCTCTCTCATCCATTTCCAGTTTTAGGCCACCAATTACAGTTACCACTAGGAGAAAAGACCCCTAATTCATACACAACTTTCATACTTATCTCGATACTTGGGTTTTACGAATGTTATTTTGTTATTCTCAATGGTCACCACATATTTATACAAGATTCAAATTGAACATCATGTACTGCCACAAATTCAAGTGGGGCAACTTTCCAAAAAAAGGAAATAAAATAACAAACAGCATATTAGTGAAGTTTGTGACTGAAAGAAAAGAAGAAAAAAAAAAGACCTAGCTTCAATCCAAATTCAAATGTCGAAAACAACAAGCAAAACGTGCACAGCAGTTAAACTTGGAGTATACAACAAATTTAAAAGAACAAATTGATTTATGCGTAGCATCCAAACCATACTTCAAACAGGAGATTCTGGGGAGGAAAAAAGACAGAGACTTTAACG